AAGGCAATGTTTGAGTCTGTTGTTCTCTCATTTGACTTAATCACTAAGTGGTGATCACAGCATAAAGAACATACACCTGCAGTATAATTTAACATTGCATTTTAATAATAACATTATATGAGGCTCCTAATTCTGCACATTTTCATACAAAAATGTCAGTCCCAATTAATCCCAACTGATCAGGGATTTACAATATTAAAGAAACATACCAATAAATGCAACAGCTCTAAAAATCCAGGCCTTATTGATGGGTAAACTGAAAACTACACCAGTTATACTTAATCTATAACATTAGCTAAAGTATTGTCTTGTATGAATGATCTATTCTCCTATCACAAGCAGTCATAAAATAAGCATTATGGTACGAGTAAATGCTTACTATAAAAACCGGAATTACAGACTTCAACATGTTGGTCTTGAATGAAAGTGTTTCCACTAAAACCTATTAACCCTCTAGTTAAACTGTAGGTTACCCTCAATTTCAATCAATACACTGTAATATGATAACTTCATTATGCCCTACAGGTACTGTACATACAGCTGCTTTCACTCTCCATACAGGTGCACTAATGCTTTTCAGTGACAAAAAAACATTTAATACCTAACATCTGTTTCCTTTAAATTCTCTTTCAGTGCGTTTTAGTGCTAGGTTGAGTTAGTTAATTTGAACTCTCTCTGCAGGCTAACTTGCAGGCTTGCATTGCATTGCAATGCATTGCTAGCTAGCATTAGCATTGCAGGCTAAACTGAGCACAATATGTTTAGCAGAAAATTAAGAGCGTGCACATGCAGAACCACCTCATTTTGGAATATTTCCACTTCAAGCTCCATTTTTATTTGATCCTTATTTTTGTTATTCATTTCCTGACAGAAAACTGCATTTCATGTTTACACCTTCCACAATGGCACTGTATGGTGCAATTCCCAGCAACAGCTTCCTGCATAACTAGTAGTTCAATAAGACAAAACTCCAATGCATACTGATCTTCACCTTCCTTTTGTTTTCCATGTCTATTTTACTTCAAGCTTTTCTTAGCACAGTCACTAAAAAAATGTTCCACAAATTAGTAACCCATTCTACTAAGGAGCAAAACTCTCTTGACTAAGTAGTTAGTCAGTACTATGTGCATCACACAAGCTATCTTAATAAACCAAAACTCCATGGAGAAAGAAATGCTTTAGCTGAGACAAGAACTTAAAAGCACGCAGTGCTCTTCATATTTCACTTTTTCCCCTATGGTTTCCAAAGGAGAAAGAAAATCCCAGGCTAAGCAGAGATTTGGTCACCTGTCTGTAGAGATCCTCAGATGACAGCTGAACACTCGAAATATGCCCGAGAGATTTTATTAGAGGGGGGGAACACAAAGAGAACAAATGTGCAAGCATGTGGAGAATAATAACTTCATGGATTCATTTTCTTCCAAAAAAATAAAACATGATTGAACACATACTGGATTTTCATTTTGTTCCCCAAAGTTACATTTCTTCTAGTGCTGATGCCTTCATACTGACGTACACACTTTAACAAAATCTGCTTATTGCATTAAGGCAACTGGAAAGGTCTGTTACCTTACCTGAGTCTGCACTCAGGGTAGATCGAAAACTCACTCATGAGGAAATCTCTAATTCAGCTGGAATTAGTACTTCTTTATAGTACTCCCTTTCTCTAAGGATCATTCTGCTAGTCACATAAAAAGTCTTAACCCAAATCCAGCTTGGCATCAGTCTAACAACCATCATGTTACTATATGATGCCATAGTCACAACAAAAAAGCATGTTATACCCTGAGTCAGATAACTGTCATAACTCCCCAAAGAGAGAGCACTGAATATTATTTTCTAGTACCACAAAGCCCAACTTGTGTCACCCCAGTATCAAGCTTCTGGTACATTAATTGATCACAGACACCAAAAGGACTATAAAGGACTGCATGAGATTTAATAGCACCCAAATCACTTTAATTAATTAGCTAATGGAGGCAAGCATCAATTCTGCTTTTCTGAAAGTGCATTTGCTGTGGGATGCACTGCAAACTGCATTCACAACAAAAAAGGAATCTGCAATGTATCAACCAGGAGCTAAACAACCTAAGATTATTAAAGGTAGGTATATACCTGTAATCAAACTCTATACTATATTAAAATGACTGGAGTTCTGTAAAGATTAGGCAGAAAAAATCAAAGGTAAAATTTGTACCAATCAAATTCTTCAGTGTAAAAGAAAAAAAAACCCATAGAAAACTTCAATTATAAAACCTATTTATATTCTATAATTTGAACTTCAATTGCAGTTTGACATGATTCAATTCCTCATTCTTCTCCAGAACTACAGAAAATAGGCTGTAGCGTAAAATTAACTGACAGCAAGTAAACAAGAAAATGCAAGCAGAGTAGGGAAATTGAAATAAAATGAATGAAACATTTTTGTCTACTTTATGAAATAAAGTAAATATAAGTTAGTCCCAGCACAAAGTGAAACTACTTCATACCTCTAGCATGTGATCGATCATGTGATCATGTCACCGATCACATGATACTGGGAACTTCCACCTTGGTTTCATTCTCAGTACTCCACATGGGGCAGGGAAAAGTGCCAGAAGGTAGTATTGAATTATCATGGCTTCGAACAAGGAAACAAACACTAAATTATGTTTGAAGGTAATAAGAAAATGTGCATGGAAATTTGAGAGATCTATTTCAATGGTACAGAGCTACATATTTGCTACTAATTCATTAAGTAGTTCAGGTGGGTAGCTGCGTAGGCTGCTAAGGAACAAGTAATAGGTTTATTCCATGCTGAAAAGAGAAGAAAGAAAACACAACGTTTTGGCCATGGAGCCTTCTTCAGGTGTGAGCAATTCACCTGAAGAAGGCTCCACGGCTGAAACATTGTGTTTTCTTTCTTCTCTTTTCAGCATGGAATAAACCTATTACTTGTCACTTATTCATCAATGGTTAAATGAAATCCACTGAAAATGTACTGATGACCAATCAGAAATCCCACATACACAACTTTTTTTTCCAGCACCAAGTAAGAGATGGAGATCACAACCTACGCCCTATATCATCTTTCAAAACTGAAATGTTTATTTTAGAAACATTAACATGGAAGGGCTAGGAAACGGAATAAGGCTTAAGTAATCTGAGTTTAGAGTTAGATTTATTTAATTTCTCCTTCGTAAGATCTGTACCCATTTTAGTCCTCTGATATCGCTTTTCTCCTAGAGATTCATTTAGTGTACCATGAGTTGCTGATTTTCAAATAAAATAAAATGGCTATTAAAATGGTGTAATTAAATGACTTTGTGGAATGCATCTGAAATGGTGCTTAATTAAAAAACAAAGGCATACCATCTTATCACTGAATAAATGGCTCTAACATTCATGTATCTTCCATTTATGAAGATACTAAGGATTCTGAAGTGCTTTTCAGCAGTGCATGAGCCTACACAATAACAGCACAATTAATATCTGAAGCAGTCTTTGATTGTAACTGAAGTCATATCTTCAGCCCGCCCTTCTCATACAAATCTTGAGACCTGCAGTGACTCATTCTGACACCAGCAATAGTGGTGTTGTTTTCAGGGTGGTAAAACATTATTGGCTCACTGGAGGAAAGGTGCTAATAAAAAGCTTCATTAAAAAGGACTATCCTATTCCATAAAGCTCATTTAAAGACCCATTCATTCTGCAAATGTTTATTAAAAAAAGTATTTTTCATTAATTTCATCCATGGATACATATTTGCTACTAATTCATTAAGTAGTTCAGGATGAACCATGGATGAAATTAACGATGACTTTAGTTTTACCATTATAAATAGACAAGCCATTTAAACCATTTTTAAGAAGTATTTAAACTTTATTTGAATGTCTGAATTGAATTCCCCACCCCACCCCCCGCAGGATATCTCGTAATTCAGCAGCCAATGAGTACTCAAGATAGAGGTTAGCCTTGCTTAAAAAATGGCTCCCTGCTAAACGTCCTTAATTACAGCACATGGAATCAATGTAATTTTTACAATTCTTTATTTGAAGTGACTACAGAACTATAATTTTAATTCAAATGCTCCGAGTTCAACCTGGCAGAGTCCTGCTGTTGCCAAAAACATGCATAAAGCCTCATAAATCGTATCATTTCACTATGGGTGATAAATGAGTCTTTGGTAAATAAAATTGTGTTCTCTTGATGGGAAAATGAATTACTGGAAGGCTGGATTTAAAAAGCGGACATCAGATCAGGGATTGACCACTAACTCACTGTTAACTAAAATTCCACAAGCATCAGTGATTCTCCCCTGAGACAGCTGGTTAGATAGACTGAGACCCATTTGGGTTTACTTTAAATATACATTTATGAAATTAAATGTATAAGAACTGTATTCTTCAGCTTTAAACTCACTTAAATATACAATATACATATATTTACAGTGATAAATGGAATACATAGCCTAGGATTAAGTAGAATATTGCCATTGCCCACGTCTGGCATTTCAGCAATAAAAAATACACTGCTTTTAATACAATCAGAAACACACCGGAATCACAGATTAATGATCGTTGAAATTGACACATTCTGACAGTCACTGAAGCATTCAAGCAGTAACATTATTCACGTTAAAGTGAATGGTGAATAGTGAATGACTCGCTGATTTATTGTAACATCGGCACAATGGAGGTTTCTAGATTCCCAACATAATTAAGATCAGTAACAGAACAACTAAAAGTGTGTTATTGTGGTGTGGGAAAAAAGGAAAAGACAGAGTAAAACTGAAAACCTGTCAGACGGATTACTCGGATTCTTCTGCATCGGTTGACAGGCCGGATTTAAAACTGCTAATCTCAGTGCTGCATCAAAAACAGCGGCAGCATCCATATTGGTTACTATATACTACTAGGCAAACCCACAGTCAGCATTAATCCAAGGACAGTGAATAGACTAATATAATAAATTAATAAGGTTCAGTGGCATTGCATGAGACAACCGGCGCCTTTTCTTACCTTTTTTTTCTCGGTCTCGGTGGGCTGTATTAGTGTATTCGGTATCTACCTTAGTCAATGCTATTTATTACGATCGCATCTCCAAAATGCACACACAGGCGGCTGCAGCAGCTCTCTCCGTGCCCGTTCGCGCATTAGCGTGCGCGTTGCCGAGGATGTAAAAGTGGGCGGTGTAAGGACTGAAGGCGGTCAAAAGCGCGCACACATTACACACGAACGCGGAGTTTTATGTATCAGAAAGCAATGCAATACGCATTTAAAATCTTTAAGACTGCAGCTTCCTTAAACTTAATATTCATCATAACAACAAGTTTGTGGTCGCTAAATATCATGAAATGTTGAAATACAAAACTGAAACTAAAAATAATGGTTGATATTGTTTTAAATTGTGTGATAGACAATACTATGGACTTCAATAATCGGTGTAACCCGGAGAGTATACCTTCATCTCTGGGGTATAAATACGGATAGAAACTAGTTCAAAACTACCCAGTTGGAAATTATTTTTGCCTAAAAAACGTTTTTTTTTCTTTATACGTTTACCCTCAACCTTTTGAATATGCACCTCAACCGGTATGACGAAAACTTTCAAAATCTATAACCACTACGTTATAAAAAAAAACTGAAAATGTACAACGGCCCGACAGATTAATAAATAAACATGGCGTCACGATGTGTTGCTCCAGCTGACGAATCGCACGAGGGCGTCAGTGAAGTCTCGTTCGAGGGGGAGGGAGAGGAGACCAGTTCTCGCGTGTTTTCCCTGTGGCCCTGCTCTCACAGCTGCGGAGGAAGAGCAGCATATTACAGGTATCAATTTAATTAACTTGTTTTACTGTTCGGGGAAAAAGGAGCCGGGGACAGATGTGTGCACCGAGAACAGGCGTACATTCCGCGTTTGTCTGTCGCTCATGCCCGGGTGTTTCGAGCTCGGTTGAAGTCAGACGCTCTGCGGCGTTGTTTTGTGTGATGCTGAAGGCTCCAATGTTTTTCCTCTTGTCTAAGGCCCCAATGTTTTGAGTGCTTGGCATTTTTGATTGTCCCGTTGTTGTTGCAAGGAGAGAATTTGCTTTCCAATCAAGAGAGATGTCGCATTATGTTTATGTCGCGTAAGCTCCCGGTCCTAAGCTGGGCCGTTTTTTCCTTCTCCAAGACGAGCTGTTTTCGGATATTTTGATGGTACGTTTCATGATAGCAGCTTTCCGATTTACCAACCCTAACAGTCCTACTCGTCGGCTGTCCTTCCTTGACTGGTGGTGTACAGTTTTACCGAATCCCTGAAAAGTTTGCGTTTACTGTCTCAACTCGGGAATACCACTATCAAAAGGGTCGCAACTAAAGCAGTTTGAGTGTGAGCGCGTTTAAATCTTGATCAACGTTTGTGTTCAACAATGTGGACCTGCATCAATTTATTTCCAGTTGACGCTACTGTGATTACCAATCGTGTTTGTTGGGGGGGATGTTTGCAAACTTCATATTTTGCATGATCTCAATCCGAAATATAGATTTTTGTGCACAATTGTATTACCTTGCATATTGTTGTAGACGCAAAGTGTTTCATTTGTTTAATAATACAACTTTTTCAGTTTTTCAGCGTATTCATGATGAGTTATGCAGAAAAGCCAGAGGATATAACTAAAGATGAGTGGATGGACAAACTCAATAATGTACACATTCAGAGAGCGGACATGAATCGACTAATCATGAATTATTTAGTAACAGGTAAATGTTTCAGTTTGTTGAGAATTATTAACCAATGTTTAGAAAATAAACGTGTATACAGTAAGTCATTTGGATACATGTTACTCTACCATGAAGTTATCATATCTGTGCCTTGCTAAATGTCATATTTATCTTTATGCAATCTTATTTTCTCCTTGTTTTGGACATTCAAGGTAAATGTTAGGTAACTTAACAAGACACTTTACTTTTATTGTTGTATGTAAAAGAAAAGCAGAACTGCAATGTCCAAATGGAAATATTTAGAT